ACCTTTAACACTGATGCCTATGCCTTCTTCCCTCTTTACAGGCTGCAAGAACCTAGAACATGGACAGATTTTGAAGGAGCTGATGCAGACTCCCAATTTCCGAATCACAGTGGTACAAGAGGCAGACACCGTGGAGCTCTGTGGTGCCCTCAAGGTATGGGAATGGTCCAATCCTGGGAAAACAGCAATATCTGGTTAGGATATGGCCAATTGCGAGGTGAAGTCCTGTGATACTGCACACCAAGGCCAGAATCCTCTGTTTGCACTAAACTGACATAAATGCAGTGGTGTAGGTAGCGATGGAAGGAGCAAAAGTGCCACAGAGGAAGTGGCAGTGAAGGAAGAGAGGCATTAGAGAAATGGGCTACTCAGAGCCAATAAGAAAGCCAGTGTGGTGTAGTGGTTTGAACTTTGGACTACCACTCAGGAGACCAGGGCTCAAATCCCCACTAAGCCATGGAAACCCACTGGGTAACCTTGGGCCAGTCAGATGCTCTCAGCTTCAGGGGAAGGCCAAGGCACACCCCCAAATAAATCTTGCAAAAAACAAAAACAAACCATGATAGGGTCGCCCTAAATTGGAAACAATTTGAAGGCACACAACAACAGAGTCAGCAGATTTTGGCTGCCTTCCATCACCACTATTGTGCAATCCTGAAAAACAATGCTGCAACTAGTGGAGGGTACCATCAGGACTCCAGCCTAAATTAGCCTTTTCCAATGTAACCTCCAGATGTATTGGAGAATGTTTCCCATCCTCCTGAACAAACATGGCCAGATGCTAGCTAGGTGGCAGTTGTAGCCAGAAACAGTGGTTCAAATTAGAAGAAACATCTGATTAAACATTAAGAAGAACTTTGTGGTGGTGAGAGCTTTTAAGAGAGCAGAGCAGTTTGGCTGGGACTCTCTGTTATTGAAGGTTTTTAAACAGAGGTCGGATGGCCATCTCTCAGAGATGCTTAATCTGTGGATTCCTGCACTGATAGCAGATTGAACTACATTATCTTTGGGTATACAGTCACCCCTTCGTTTTTGCAGGGGATCTGTTCCAGACCCCCCTGCAAAACAGAAAATTGCCAATATTCAAGCCCCATTGGCTTTAATGGCAGTGTGCACCTGTGGGTGCCTGCAGGCACGCACCCCATTTTGTCCCCCTCCTTTTGCCACCTGCGAACAGGCGAGGGATGCAGATTTGAACTCAAATGTAATTCTGTGGCTTGATCTCATAGGTATCAAGATGAAGAAAGTTCCTTTAGATTCCCCCCCTTTCTTCTCTCTCTTTCCCTCCATTGAATGCATTGCACTCAAGCCTCAAAGACATGTCTCTACAGAAAATCATTATCTTTTGGTCTTGCCAAGAAGCTGATACAGAACAGAGACACAATGGAACGTGGGCCTCTTTAGCAAAATATGTTCTGTGATAGGTTTGCTAGAAAGAGCTGGGCTCCAGCTGCCACTCACTCTTGGAAAAGAGTGATTATGACAAACTCTGCTTCAGATACCAAAGGCTGGTTGTCCACACCTAATTATCTAGAGTACCTTGCCTAACAAAGATGTAAAGCTTGTCTGGGCCAAAATCTTGCTGATAACTGATGACGCATTGCCTTCCTCCTTCCCCTCAGAATGTTGTGGCTGTTGGGGCTGGCTTTTGTGATGGATTGGGCTTTGGAGATAACACCAAGGCTGCTGTCATCCGCCTGGGTCTGATGGAGATGATCGCTTTTGCCAAACTCTTCTGCAAAGGCAGTGTCACTTCTGCCACCTTCCTGGAGAGCTGTGGGGTTGCGGACCTTATCACCACCTGTTACGGGGGCCGTAATCGCAAAGTGGCTGAAGCGTTTGCCAAGACTGGAAAGGTGAGTCGAACCACCATGGTCTACTAGCATGGTCTTCTGTAGGATTGCCTACTGTTCCCTTTTTAAATATATAATATTCCAGACACCACAACTCATAGAAATAGTTGATTCTCTCCCCCATCTCCTGTTACATAACACTTTAGTCTGAAACACTTCAAATATTAGTACAATAATCCATAAACTACATTGATAGTGTTATCCAGTACTGCAGATGAAAACTTGGTGCTTGCCTAACAGCTTACATGGCATGTTCATGAAAAATACATGATTTTAGTGGGGAACTTTCTGGTAACAATTCACTCTGAGGCAGCAGCCATTTGATAGTTTGCCTGGGAATAACTTTTACTTGAATATGAGGAGGTTTTCTTCTAACTACACATGAAAAAGATGCCTTTGCTAGTCAGCATGGTGCATTAGCTTTTAAATACACCCACACATCATCCTTTGTTTTTCCAATTTTAATCTAGTAATGCTAGCTGTGCTTGGAACAAACTGATCAGTTCTCTCCACCTGCTTCTTCCATTTCTATCAAGAGACAGCTCAGAAACATGAGGTCCTTCAGATATTATTGGATACAACCCAAATCATCACCCACCATTGGCTATGCTGATGAGGACAGATGAGAGCTGCAAACCAACAACATCTGGAAGACCTCATGTTCCCCACCCAGCCTCTGTACTGATGCTTACATCCACTGGTATTATGCAAAGGTCACAGATCTGCCATTTAGAGCCTGGAGAATACTCTTAGAACTAAAGAACAGGCTGCCCCTGAGCATGTTCTGAAATCCTATAAGAAAGTCATCAATTTTTAGTACCTGGGCTGAATCAAGCTCAGTCTTTTTCCAGATTTTTAAAATTTCAAGTCTTAATTCGATTGGAAGCAGTCATATTGTTGAAGAATTGAGAATCACTCAGAAAGCCTTGATGATCTATTGTAACTCGCCCAGAGATCTGACAATAAAACCTGATTCATCTTCTGTCATCCATACTTGTTCTAAAAGGGACCTCTGTTACAGGGCTAAGACTGAACAAATAGCCACTTTCATCTGGCCAAGGTTTCAGCTTCTATCTTCACAATTTTTTTATGTTAAATGTTGCAATGTTTGTTTTGATTGCAACACGGGATTTTACAAAATCTGGAATACTCCAGACTGAGATGTCAGAGACCGGACTGGAGTACGCCCACAGAACCAGAGAATTTGGCTTAAAGTAGCCTGGCAGTCCAAGCAATCCCAACACTATTTTTAGGAGCACAGTGGAGCGGCATGTCACCCAAGAAGCATACTACAGGATCACTTGCACTCTTGCAGAGGAGGCTTGGAAGTCTCTCTCAAGTTCTGTGCAGAATACTCTCTGCAGCTTCATCAGAAAGGAATCCCATGGCACAGCTCATGGGACTGCATTGTGTAAAATCCAGCTGGACCAACTCTAGTGTCCCGTTTGCCATGCTGAGCTGGTTTAGGCTTGATCAGTACCCAAATAGGGAGCCATCCAGTAATCTCATGAGGACCATTTTCATCTGCAGGAAAGGAGAGAAATGTAACACAATTGGCTTCCCTGACTTGGAACATATCTACACTATATATGTATGGTGGCTTCATACGTTTGTGTTGCCATAATTTCTCCTCTCAAAGAATCCTGCAAATTGTAATTAGTGATGAAGATACTAAGAATTATATGTTACAGGTCTCTAGCAGATGCACAACCTCCTTCCTTCTCTGAATGACAGTTTACAGGATTCCCTGGGAAGAGAGAGGAAGGAGGGTTGGAGAGAGAGAAAAGCTCTTGAATCCATTTAACTCTGTAAGGTTGATATGTCCAAAAACAGAAGCCATGAGAAGAATATCCTCCTAAGGCGAACCATTCCAATAGCTTTCAACAAGCTGGGAGAGGAAGGGCTGTGTTGCATCAGGCAGTCACTCACACTTCATCTTCCCTTTTACAGTCTATCGAGCAACTGGAGAAGGAGATGCTCAATGGGCAGAAGCTGCAGGGCCCTCAGACTTCGGCAGAACTGAATCACATCCTCAAGCACAAGAATTTGGTAGACAAGTGAGTCCTCATGTTTTTCTCCCAGTTTGCTTGACAAGAGTATCCACTGGTACTCAGCAGATGCCAGTGGAGACTGATGATAGTTGTATGGTGGTTGCTAGTAGCCATATGCTTATTTGCAAGCCTGCCAGACTGTATTTGTAGCTGTTTACTCGCCTGGCTTTTAACTGGTCACAGGAAATTGTTCAAGTAAATACAATTCCATTTTATAAAAAGCTCAATACAGGATATTTTTTTGGAACACAGATGAATGTGTGTACTAACATGTCATTTAGGAAATTAAAGCTGTGTGTCCTGCATAGAAGAAAATACCCACTTTAATATTTTCTAGTTCAGTCCCTACAAACCAGAATGACAATAATAAAAATCCTTGATAATGCAAAAATCTGCCCTTCATTCCTAAAATGTGCCTGCTCCAATTACATTTTTTTTTACTCATGGTAGTAAATGCAATGAAATCTTTTTGTCAGTGGTAAAAATCTGCAGCCCTCCGGATGTTGTTGGACTGCAACTCTCATCAGCCCAAGCCAAGATAGCCAATGGTGAGGGACAACAGGAATTTCAGTTTAAGAATATCTGGAGCACCACAGGTTCTATACCTGTGCTTTAAACCAGTTACACCTCATTTATGAAGATTTCCAAAAGAACAGGACAATAGCACATTTCCCACTCTTTAGATCTGGGCCCCCCATTTGTTACCTGAACAGCTTATGACTGCTCCGTGGTCCCAATGGGTACTCATTGCCCTTTGCATCACAGCAGGTTCCCAGTTCCCATCCTCAGACTCACCTGCAACTGGGGGCTTGCTCAGTTTGCTCTCTGTTTCTCTCCCCCTGCAGGTTCCCACTCTTCACTGCTGTCTATGAGATCTGTTACAATGGCAAACCTGTCACCGAGTTCATCACATGCCTGCAGAATCATCCAGAACATATTTGATTGCTGTTGAGCCTTGTTCCAGAGAGCAAGGGGGTAGAAAGATATCCCCATTTGCTATCACACCAACATGAGGAGAGGGACCTAATATGGAGGAGCTGTGGGCAACCAGGAGAGGCTACGGGATTAGGACCCACCATGGCCACCAAATGTGGAATTGCTGGATCATTGACCAGGGATCCCTGCCATTTACCAGTCCTGCCTTTGATGTCCATCAAATTGCCTCAGCTCATCCAGTCTCCATCTTGGTTCTTACTAGTTTGGAGTATCACCTTTCCTGGTTCCTGCAGCAGGCAAAGTGTTTGCTTTGATCATCTTTCTTCTTCTGTGTGCAAAGAAATAATTTCCCCATCCTAGCTCATTTCTACTCCATTTCTCTGTCTTAATTTTAACTTCTCCAGATATGAATTCAGGTTTGATCCCTGTTGGGTTTACCTGCCTTAAAGGCTTATCAAATTCCATATCTGACGGGGGAAGGAGGAGCAAATACTGTCCCTGCCCTCACTAGCCAGGCCTGGAGCTTACGAAGCTTCAGGCATTATTAAGAATAGCACTTTGTAATTGTAATTTTCAAAGCAGTAGCCATGTTAGTCTCCTGCAGCATAAAAAGGAGG